ATGAAGAGGACTCCAATGGTATATTTATCAAGGCAGATTTTTTTTTCCTATAGGACTGCTGATTCATTTTCTGAGGAGGCTTTAATGTGAATTCAGACATAAAGAAATGTAAAAGTAGTACATGTGTTCCTGACTCCTCTTTGTCTTTGAGAAGCCCAGCCACTAGTGGCATTTTTCATCCTTGTGAAATGCATTTTTGGTACAAATCACGTTAAAAATAAAAATGAGACAATAAAGCTTTCATGTGGCTGAAACTGTGAGTGGAAAGCATTCCAAAATATTTAGTAAGAGTTTTTCTCTAACACTTATTAGCTACTGGCACATAAATCTGGCTGAAATCAATACTTAATATATTCTCTGCCCTAGTGTGTCTTGCGTGCTGGTCAAGGCATATGAAATACGCAGATGATGAGAAGGCAAAATATTCTTGAAGTACTTTTTAAAGTGGCACTGATAGTGTTATAGATAAAACTGTTAATTCTACATTGCATGATAAAAAGAGATGGATGATGTACAGGGGGTGGTGCACCTTACAGAACATTAATTTTTCTCTTTATGTGTGCCTCCTCTTCTCTTAAGCCACCAAGACACTTGTGTGTTAGCGTGTCAATTTAATGTTATTCCTGTCAGTTTCTAGAAAACATTCATTTGAATAGTGTAGAAACATTAGTGATAGTAATTATCCCAGAATCTGTGTTCATTTGGATATGTACTTAGGATCAGCTCTTTTGAACCTTACAACAGTTTGGAAAAAACGTGGGAAAAAAAACAAAACAAAACCAAACCAAAAAACCCTGGAACAAGATCGATTGACCTTGTGTTGCTCATTTCAGTGCAGACTAGATTTTTTTTAATTCTAGGATCTAGTCCAGAATCTACTGAAGTTGGGGGAAGGATGCCCATTGATTTTACTGGGGTTTTGAGCAGAATTTTACACCTTTGCGTGGCCTCTAGCTGAGTATATGTTGGATGGACATTTGGCTGCCTTGCCTATTGCAAGTTGTGGTGGTTTAATGACCGTTTCGGTCCCAGACAAAACCAGGACACAAGTTCAGAAGGTTAAAGGCTTTCAAGGAAACAGTGGGTTTTGAGGGAGGCGAGATGGAGATTTGTTTGCACTTTGCTACCTTTATGCAAAGTAATGAGTCTGCTCTCAAAGAGCCTTCACATGGGGTGTTAATGTGGAGTATGCACGTGTTAGCATACTGAAACTTTGACTTCCTCATTTGGACAACCTTGAAGTAAAAGACAAGAAGCTGTAGATGGATACAACAAGCAGATTGTGGGAGTGTAGGAAATGATGAGACAACAGCAGCAGTCGTGAATAACAAGGTCACAGCTTGCCAGCTGTCCAGTCATTGTCAAGATTTTTGTGAGCATCACGTCAGATAATAATCTTAAGGAGAATGTGAAGGTAGCTTTGAGGTATTAAAGGGTTGCTTTTCCCACATGTGACAAATGGTAAAGAATAAGAAACTGATCTGAAACTGCATCAAATGGTGATAAAGGCCTATGTTTTTGTCAAACAGAGCTAAAATTCAACCCTTCAATAATGTCTCAGAGGCAAAAGTTTTTCTTTGTTCATTAGCATTTAAACATTCTTGCTTGCTCCTTTAGAACTGCAGAAAGATGAAGCGGAAGATACACAGTCAACACAGGAAGAAACATTTATGTCTTCACCACTTGAGGATCCTGAGTTAAATATCAATCACCCTTACTACGATGTTGCGAGACATGGCATCATCCAGTTAGCAGGTATGTTTGGAAAAATGCTACGACTTCACGCTTACTAGACCCCTTACCACATTTTTCTTACTGTACTCAAGGTGATGCACAGGAATCATGTTGATGCTTTCAGCCTTCATCCTGAAAAGCAGCTGAATAGTAATATGTGAACTCAGTGCTTTTCTACAGATGAATTATGAGCCAAATATTTGAGCTTAATCTTGCTTTAAAATATAACAATAGCAATATGTTGTAATCTAAGGCCTAACTGTGGCTGTAACAGATCTGTACTTTATTTGTGATAAGCTGTTTTGTTTTCTGAATAACGTGAAGTGTTGTGTAGCCACACATAATCATTTTTCTAGTGTGCCCTGGAAAGGGCGTGCAACTGTGAAGAGATAAGGGTTACTGTATAAAAACTAATAAAAGGCAGAAAGGAAACTGTTGACATAAATGTTAAGTGCCTTTATCACCTGACTCTGTTGTGACATGGAGAAAAGCTATGGGTACATAGCATATTTGAATATTGGATCATTTAATGTTTACAGTTATTTATTTTTAAAACATTCTGGCAACGTATAAGACAGGCAGGCATATTTATGATATAAAAGCACCTCTTTAAAGTATGTATTGCATATTTTTTCCCTTTTGGCTTATTTTTGGCATCAATGTGCTTGTTAAAATAGTATTAATAATCACAATCCTGAACTAAAGAAATGTATACAATAAGAAACAAATAGCGGTATTTAACACTGCTCATCCTAACGAAGTCTAAGATCGTGTTATATTGTGCGCACTTTTTGTACCTCGTACTTCAGTGAGCCTAGATGATGATTTTTCAGGAAAATGATGAACTCGGGTTGCGCATATGTACCTTCCTGAATTTGAGCCATAACAGGGTGTCATCTAGGTGAATATGAACTTTAGCAAAACCAGTCCTCTACTGAGGTATGATTGACTAGGGCGGTGAAATCCGTGGTAATTTGACTTCTGACTGTAGTGGGAGGAGAAATTTACCCACAGTAACTTCTCTTCTTGAAGCTAGTTATACACAGGATAATAATTACCTTTTACCTTCTTCAAAACTAACCCCCCAACAGAAGACTCAAATCCATAAACAAGGGAGTAACAGATTCACATTCTTGCGATTCAAAAGCTACTACCTGCTAACCCACTAGGATGTTTCTCACTCAAGCACCAGTTTTGGGATGGGGGAAGTACCAAGACAGAAGAGTTGTTAATGAAACTGTTGAAGTCAAACTGACAAAGTGTGAAACAGACATGTTAACAGACACACTGGATACACCAGGGTCACTATAACTGTCCACCTAAGAACCTCTCACATTGCTGTATTAGGCAGTGCTATATGCTAATGCTCTAAAAGAGATCTACAAGACTTTTTGTCTCCTGCTGGTATACTCAACATCAAATTGTGATGGGCCATGTATTTACTGCTTCAACTTTAATCGTGCACAAATATTTAGTAAATGTTTGTTGTTGCTCCTCGTTCTTCATTCACTCAAAGCTGCCCTGGAAGTCATAAGCGCTTGATATTTGTCTGTTTCAGCTGGTGTTAATTCTAAAGGGTACTTGTGTGTTTATTTTCCTTGGAGGAACCATCGTCTTTTTTGCAGCTATGGGCAGAGCTGCCGGGTGATGCGCTGAAACCCCTGAGTCTTTGCTTAGACTAAGCTCCTCTTCTCCATCCCTCCCTACTGGGGAAAAAGGGGACAAGTTGGCAATCTTACTGGTCAGTCAAGGAGAACTTACTACGACATTCCCTGTTGACTTAAATAAATACATAAATAAAAGTTTACTTACTACCAAGGCAAACAATCTCAGGAGGACTCTGTCATTTGACTTGGAAGAGTTAAAATGGTGGGAAAACTCAAAAAAGGGGAAAATTTTGGAATGGGAAGATGAAATATACTGGAACAGCTCCTTTTAAAAATTCATGCTTTTACTGATGGTGAAACAGAGAACATGTGATGGGGACAGAATGATAACCAGCCTGCCCCTTCCTGAGCAGTCCTGCCTGGCTTCATCTTATGCATGTGCCTTATTCCTGTGTTAGAGAATGCGAATGTGCTTCAGTATAGTGGAGTGAAAGCCACAGTGTTTTTTAAAGAGACCTACCTGTAGCTTCCATAGTTTCATCTTGGAACTTGCTCTGTATCAGTGTTTGCTTGGAATAAAGTCTAAACATTAGGTATACTCCTGGTTTAAATTTACCGGAGCAAATGGAGGAATTCACAAGATAAATCTTGGCTGAAATGTTGGATTCTCTCTGATGGTTTTGTCCTTAATACTGCAGCCTTTTGTAGGGAAAGAAGTCCCCTAACCATTATTTAAGCTCAGAAAAGAGTGACTTTAGCTGCCATTTCAGTCAGAAATATATGATGGAGTTTTGCAAGTCTGCTGGGCAATTTAAATGCGAAGCACAAGCCAGGAGCCATGCTTCAGATGCAGTCTGCACCTTCTAAAGCAGCTCTGATGGTGGGATGTAAGAGGAGAACGCAGAGGTGTGCATATGAATTCAGAACACGGGGAAGGTAAAATATGATCCAAAGACATGCTTCACCTCCACAAAACGAGACCTCCCTATCCCCAGTGTTAACTGGCGTGGAGTCAGGTTTGAATGTTTTCTGGATTTAGATTCAAGTGAGGAAAGGATGAGCTCTTCAGATCTCCTTTCCATCTTGGAAAAGGACAGTCCCTTTTGAAACAAATAATTTTTAAATTATTTTAACATAGTTTGTAACGGTTTTAATCTCTTTGAATAAGACAAAGTATAATTTCAGTGTTTGGAATGGCTGTTTTAAAGCAATTCTGAAAGCTGTTCCTTCAGTTTTAACTCTGTGATTGAGAGACGATGAGATGTATTGTTTAAAATGATTGAAGAAAAAGAAAGAATTTAGGTGAAAATATTTGCAGTAATTTATCCATCTCCTACAGTGATCTAGTTTCTAACAATTAATTTTAAAAAAAATCTAAAATTCCTTCTTGCTTCTCAGAAATTAAAATGACTTATACCTGCTTTCCATAACAGCAGCTTTGACTATATGCAAAGAAGATTTTTTTGAGTTGTATTCATACAGTGTGAAAATACAATTAATTAAATAAGAATAGAGGAAGTTTTAAAAAGATGTAAGCTTTAATAATTGTTTATTAATTTCAGACTGATTTATTTCACAAATACCAATGTGCAGCTGGCTACTCTAAGCATATGTAAATGGAACAGTGCGGGAGTGCCGGTTCTTTGAAATTTCCCCTTCAAAATAGAAATAAAATCTGTTGCCTAAAAAGAAACTCAAGGTTATTTTTCTTTGTGGCAAAAAGGAAGGGACATATAAGGATATATGATGCATCAAGTTTCCTTATTTTCTATAGTTTGCTTTTATAATATGATTGCTGACAACTTTTTGCAGTACCTTTTTTTGAATATGTGCTTATTTAGTAGGACTCTGTCTCTGATGCTTGTGTTTTCATTAACTGCTAGTGACATCCTTTTATGTGTTAGACAAAACTTTTTAATGGAATTAAAGTCCATCGTTGTTTTAAATCTATATTTCCCTTCTTAGCTTTTTATTGCTTTTTTAGTTATATTTAAAGATTTCAGGTATCCAGCCTGGGTCTTTGTATGTCCATATTTTTCTTCAAGATCCAGTTGATTTCATGCCCCTTTCTGGTTTTGAACCAGTGCATTAGAAACTGATTAGAATAGTATTATGTAGATCAGACTGTCAAAGGTAAAGTTGTAATTTAGTTTCTGTAATATGTAAGGAGAAACTGCAGTGAATTACTTAACAAGCGTAAGACCCAAGTCCTAATGATTTTCAGTCCATCTCAGTGACAGCTTTGCTGCTACTTGCAATACCTTCAGGAGCAGATCTGTGGTCTGTAAATTGCAGTGCCACAGGAAAGAACTGGGTTTAAAGATAATTTTTTTTTCTCAAAAGCTTTACTTTGTTCTTTTTTTTATTTCCAAAGGCTATTCCTTAAATCAGTATCTCTGACATTATTTCATGAGTACCCTTTTGGGGAAAACAACAAATCAACTGGGGAGACCTAAGACTTGGGCACTTTTCAAGAAGGAAGCTGAAGGCTCTGGTTTGTAACCTATTTGCAGCACAAGAGCAGATTTTAATGTGGCCTTTGCACTTTACAAAGCATGTCCTAACCATTTGGGTGTTGTCGTGTTTTTCTCTCAGTTGCTATGAGAGGAGCTCCAAAATAAAGGTTGATATCAATGAAAAGTATTTCCTGCTCTAGTGAAGAGAGAACGTGCCTGAGTGATAGAAACATGGGTTCAAATCCTCTAGGCAGGAATTGAACTTGGATTTTCCAAATTCTGCGCCAGTTTTCCTCTTGCTTCTTTCTCCAACTATTTTCTTCTCAGAATGTGAAAGGAAATAAATCCTTATTTACTACATTCCTCACTTTGAACATCAGACTGTAAGCTATAGTGTCTTTTTTAAAGGCAAAACTGAGTCAATTATATCAAAATATGTGGACGTGCTTTCTTGTTGAATCTGAGAAAATATAACGGGTCTGCTTTAAACATCATTTAGTAGAGCAACAGGCTTGCTAAAATAAATGATGGCTCAAAGTGCCAAATTCAAATGTGAATGTGAACTCAATTTTAGGTTTGGGTATCCTGACAATATACCACAAGACATTCTACACCCAAATATACCTTATAAAAAGAAAAGCCTAGCACTATTTCCCCTTTACCAAGTAAATGTAAATTATATTCCCTTTCTGTTTGACTATTCTGCTGTTTCTTTGCTTTCCTTAAATTTTCTTTTATGCTTTCTGTGAATTATCAGAATACTTAGTTTTGCATCACTGAAAGCAGTTTTGGTTTTCAATGCCCCTTTTAAGACTAGAGCATTGTTCTAGTCCAGAGAGTCAGCCAGACAGAACTGTGCTGACATTAGAGAGACTAGCTTCAGGAATGGCTTTAACTCACCCTTATTTCAACTTGTTTTACATACTTTAAGAGGAGCACATCTGAAATGTAAATAATTAATTACATCAAAAAGCAAGCTGTCCCTTTGCTTTCAGCTGATCTGAAAAAAAATGTGCAAAGGCAAAGTATTTTTCTTAGGCAAAATTTGAAAGAAAAGTTGCTCATGGAGGAATCTTTGATGGGGAATCTTGGCTTTCGGAGGGGAATGAACAAGGTTCCTGGTGTAGGAAGTCTGAACATTCACTTTTAGTCATTCCTATTTAGAAAGACACCTGAGCATGTACTTGATTTTAATTGCAATTTTAGCACTTTCCAGAATTAGCCAGGTGCAGTACAGGTGCAATCCTCTCACAGAAAGTTGGTTTCTAAATAAACAGGTGGACATCGGTGGAATCCAGAGGAATGAACACAAAAAGGGAACTTTGTGAAATCAAAATGAATTGACTCTTGGAATTTAGAGTTGGTGTCGTTCTCTGTATTTCCTTGGTGGATCCAGTCTCTGTCCCAAAGGATAGACATTACAATGGATATTTTAATACTTCACCTTTAAGCTGTCTAATATCCATTGTAATGTATTTTCATATGATCAGCCGAGGTGATCAATGCCAGGAGAAAGAGGACTCAGATCTCTACAGCTAAAGGTATAAACTTCTCCTGCTAACGCTGAGACTTAGCTGTGTTATCTTGGCTGTGTGTTTCTTAACTGACTACAAAGTTTGCCATTATGGATGGGCAGAGACCCATAGTGGATTCGTTGTGGGTGTATTTACTGTCCATTACTCAGCCTAGGCAAAACACTGAAGTTTCATGATAGTTTTTTTGCAGCCCTCTATTTCCCTGAGTCATAGAGAGTAGGAGGAGGTTTGGAAGCACAGTCTGTCTTGCCATTTAACATAGTGTAACTGAGGTTTAGGCTCATTTTCTCTAGCTTAAATTCTATGAAAGAAACAGATATGTGAGCAAGTGTTTTTTCACTGTTGTGGCAAGTCCCCTGGATTTTGACCCTGCTTCTACTCCAATTGAAACCAATGGCAAAAGTTCTGTTAGCTTTAGGGTCTCGCTTTGCTGTAATGTGATAATGACAAGCTTCAGTGAAGTAAAATGATATTTCACTTTTCACTTATAAAATAGTAATGTTTAGTATCATCAGAACAAAAGCTCTTAAAAACTCATGCTAAAATTACAGCATTCAAAAGATCTCATTTACAAATTGGAATGAGCTGTAACATTAGAAAAAAACTTTTTATTTGCAAGAAGCAGTTAGGAAGTGCTGTGCCATCCAAATTCTTAATTAAAAAGTAGAACAATCCCCTTTCCCACTTGCCCTACCCTGTGTCTTACTGTAACATTTTTTTTCCTACTGCAAAGTTTGGTATCAAAAGTGATGTATGATTCATGTCTGTTTCAGTAAAATCCAGACAAATAAAACCCCAGCAGATACTTGTATTTTAATGTGCATAAATCTCATTCTGGACAGCGTGCTCTACACACCCCTCTTTACTCACCGAGCGCAGACGAGGAGGCTGGCGTCACTGTGCAGTGCTCCCAGGAGTGGCTCCGCAGCCAGCACAGCTGATAATCCTGAGGGCTGCCAGGGAACGCGTGCAGATAGCAAGTGCCTGATCCAAAGGCAGGAGCCTCCTACCCATGGGCGAGAGAAGTCTATCAGACCTTTTCTGTGCATGAGGGCAGAATCTGAGCCAGTGACTTTTAAAAAGGCATAGGTAGGTGGCTAGAGGAGTGTGAGCGCCCAAGCAGTTAAGGCAGTCAGTCTTTGGGAATGCCTCCTGAATATTTGGAGCTCAAAACCAGTGCAGAAGGATAAGGGGAGGATCACATTTTCCAGGGAGGGTAGAACAGGTTATCAGCTTTCATCTGAAAGTGTTTGGTGACATTAGCCTATGAAATAGATTAATACGATACTACATTTTTGACCCGAAAGCGAAACATCAAGGAGCAAAGCTGGTATCGCACTTCTTTTTTGCTTTGTCCCATGTAGAGAATGAGGCATCTTTCAGTTCTAACTTGTTTAAGTCCAATTAGTAGGGAAATACAGGTTTTGTGGGATAAAAATATACTCTGTTCTGATTTAAAATCTGCATACTTGAAATTACAGTCTTTGTTGAATGTGCAGATAACTTTACCCTTCAAACTGCACTTTCACATGTTTGGGTGAAAATTCTATCCTCAAAGTCATGGGATTCAAACTATGTCGAATGGGGAAGCAAATGCTCTAGCAAATGTGATGGGAATTTCCCAGGGTGCTCAGTCACAGCCCTTCTGGTGGAGGGCAAGGGAAGCCTGCTTCTGTTTTGATCAGCACTTCGTGTGTGATGTTAAAATTTGATGTTGTTCAAAACGTTATTGATGCCTATGAAGAAAGAACAGTCCCTTTCCTTTCGTTAACTGTCATCACTAAGGGGAAGCTGGCACTGCTTTATTTAGTTTTTAATAGAATTGAGATTCTCGGTCACCTTTTCTGGTTTGCTGTTGTTGCCTGTGTGGCACTGTGGGAGAGGAGAGCGAGGTGCTCTGCTCTGCTGGTAATTTTGAGAAAGTTTCTCTGCCTCAGTTTTCCCGTTACTGAAACCAGGCAATTCTGTTTGTTTATGTTCTAAGTGTATCTGTAGTCTTTTATAAAGCTGGTTATTTTTTTCTGCCTTTTAATTCAAGCAGTCGAATGTGACCAACAGTGACAATTAGTGACTTATTTAGTAATTTAACTGGAAACCTTTCTTAGATTTATTTTGCTCATAAAAATGATTGTCTCTAACAAATAAAATATTCCACAATGCATTGTAACATAGTAATTTTTTCACAAACAAGTCATGATTTAGAGAACAATCTTTTATTAATGTTTTAATTTAATTTTAGTACATCATTCATATTAATGCATGTCACATTATAATGCCTTTATAAGTACTTTGAGAATATCAAATAAGACACTTAAAAATAACTTCAGGAAATAAAATTATGGTCTGTTTAAGAACAATATGCAGACATACCTGAGTACGTATGTTTGCTATCTGTAGGCAGCATGGTTTGATAGTGAAGTCTCAGTACGTTTTGAGTAACAATGGGAGATACAGAGGTAGCTCCAAATATCAGAAGGTACAAGCCATTCCTTCAGATCACTGAGGTCCCACTGCATGAGTAAATGAGCGTTGTCTTTACTAACTGTTTTGTTCATTAGGTGATGACAATTCTGGAAGGAAGGTGATTACCTTCAGTTGCTGCCGTATGCCCCCCTCCCATCAGCTCAATCACACCAGATTGCTGGAGTAAGTTTCTCTCAATCTCCTGCGTGGACTACTTTACATTTTATATGTGAACTTCTATTAGCTTGTTTCCAGGTGAATGAGCTTTCAGGGAGGAGAAGCAGGAAGCAGGGAGTGAAATGAAAAAAGGATGTAAAACCTACTAGTGTTAATATTGAGTGAATGAGATGTGGATGAAACTGCCAGAGTTACTTCACCTGGAATCTTGACTAGAAGAAGCAATTCACTGTGTACTGAAATTAACTTGTTGTCTTGATTTTATTAACGAATTCTGATAGCATTTAAAAAATTGAATTTATGATGAGGACCAATGAAAGAGAAATTCTAGTATTTTAGTGCTCTGTACACATGTTCTCATGAATAGCAGTGTTTGCCTTAATTTGCTATACTTCATCTCCTAAATCGCTCAGCAAGAGCGTTGTTCGTTTATTTACATCTTAGTGGTTTTCCTCTTTTATAAAAAAATCTGTGTTACGTACAGTATATTATGCTTAACATTTTCATATGTATCTCACTTTGTAATGTTTGGGGTTTTGTGTTAAAAGAGGTTGTGAATATGTAAAATCACAACATTCTTTCTTATAAACTTGCTGCAGCAAGGTACCAGGACATGTTTCTGCCTTGTAGTTTGTCACTACAATGAGATCTGTTCTGCCGTGAGAGTCCCATCCTTATTAAGCATTTTAAACGTATTTGGAGTTCTTGTACAGCCTCCATTGCCAAAATGTTTGAGCACCTTTCAACTGTCAGTACCCACCACCTTTGGAAAGGACCGAAGTGCTGTTATCTCAACTTTTCAGAAACAGAGAGGGATTAGAAGGCAGGTTATTTAAGAGATGTGTTTGAGACCATGTTGCTTCATTTGTATGCTCTTCACAGCTAGGGTATTTCCACAGCCTGAAGCCAAAGCTTCCTGTGTAGCATAGAGGGAGCATTAGCGCCTAGGAGGAAGAGCCTCACCAGTCAGCTCCTCACCTAGAGGAGCTACCTGCACCGATTAATAGGAAATGCCAAAGAAAGGAGTGTGACAAACCATGTTGCTACCCGATCTAAGAACCCTTCCTCAGTTCTGCGAGGAGGCGCCTTGATGAAACTAGGATTTCCAGCCCTCAGACTCTTCTGGACTCGAACATTTACATGTTTTCCTGTATCTGAGCCCACATCAAATTCACTTGGAAAGCCTGTGCTAAGAGGGAACTGAAGGCAGGTGTCTGAATGTGAAGCTAGCAATATAACTATCAAGTGACTGCTTTTGAGTAGTTAGACCCAGATGTTGAGTTTTGAGGAAAAACTGCAGAGTAGGCCCAGATTGGTAGGTGTTTTGCGATGAAATAACTTAAAGAATTGATTTGGTAAAGCTTTTGTAATGTCCCTGCAGTTCTGTTACAGCCTTGGAACAGGTAATCGACTGTACAAAAATACTGGTTATTTTATGCTCACAAAACTCTCTCAATTACTTTTAGAAGTACAGGCTTTCTGCATGCAATGTGCCAAGGAATTTGCATGCTGTAAAATAAAACATGAGGCACTCTGTATGTAAGAATATCTGTTTAGATATATTTTAATTGCAAACTCTTTTTAAAAAAGTCTTGAATGACTGTTACTACTACTTCTTCCATTAAAATACCTTTAATACTTAAGTCAGGGATCAAAACAGCATTATATTAATTGCGGTGGCGGTCCTTGTCCCAGGCTATTTGCAGTCTAAGATTTACAGTGTGCTGAAGGAATAAGCAGATAAATGAGACTGTGGGCGTACAGTGTAACAGTGAAGTTACGTGCTTTTCCATGCAAAGGTGGATAGTCCAAGTGGCCTTGATACTTGCAGATAGCCACCGCCTCGTAAATGGCGCATGGAACTATCTATTTTATTGAATTAAAATCGCCTTCATACAATTAAGAGCAATAGCTGGGGCTCTGTCGCAGAATAATAAGATAGCATTGAGAATGACATGAGAAAGTTGAAATCTGACACAGCAAGAGGTGAGGCCAGATTGTACTCCTCCATCATTGCTTTATTTGAATCATTGAGCTGTGTAATAGGCCATAGAGTGTTCCTCAGTTGTAGGAGAAAGGGAAGAGAAAAACATCTTAAACTATACCATAAAAGAATGAACACACAGAAGTCTGCTTATAAAACATGCAGTATTATTTCAAGATGGGATAAGTAGTATAGTTCTTTAAATTAGTTGTAAGGGAAATGATCTATGAACACAGTCCCCACAATACAAACAAGGGAAAGGCAAATATATTCAAGAAAACAGTTTACAGTAACAAGTTGTAATTGGCAGTAATTAGGGCTAATGGATTTTTCAAGAATTTAATAAGTTTTAAATTGAGAGGAAAACCCAAGATTTATTCTTTATTATTTTGAAAAGTCAAAATGACATTGTTTGCTTGGCTAAAAGGAATGAATTTACAAAGACCCAGAAGAAAGCAAAATAGAAGTCACTGTCAGTTAAAATGCATCTTTTTAAAAATTTCTTGGAAAACACAGTCCCATATTGTCTTCATCTTTTAGTGATTCCTGAGCACCATAGTTTTTGTAACTAAATACATTCTTTCAAATTTCAGGCTTTGCAGTGATACGGAATTATTGGCAACACTGTCAACTAGAGCAAGAGTAACTTGTTAGATAAATACACTGAAGCAAATGTGAATTTGCAGTCACTAGTGTTCTGTGCAAAGATAGCACGTTTTCTTTCTCAGTTACTGCTTTAAAATTCTCATCCAGTAAACTGTCTTAAAACTAAAATGTTATCTTTTTCCTCAGGTACTTAAAGTATACTCTGGACCAGTATGTAGAGAATGATTATACAGTTGTCTACTTTCACTATGGCCTGAAGAGTCTGAATAAACCGTCTCTGAAATGGTTACAAACAGCCTACAAAGAATTTGACAGGAAGTATGTCTCCAAAATATTTGGTTTACTCTTTCGGTTGTGTAATGTCTCTAACCAGCTTCCATGAAGGAAGCAGATCTTTCCCAATCCGCCTGCAGCTGAGTTCATTTTGCCATTGCAAATTCCTGTAATGATATTGGTGCTGTTGGTTCTCTTGTAAGTGTCTTCTGTGCAGTACTAAGGAGTGGCCTGAGTGCTGCAGTGGTTATCCAAAGGTATAAAAAGCCTTGGGAACAAAACAAGAGTCACTGTCTTTCTGTGCACTATTTAACAGGATACCTGTGACACCTTATTAGTCATCATTCTCAATCATCTCACAGTTACGTTTGAACCAATGTATCTGTTTTTTCTGGGATTGGGTAAAGGAGAAGAAAGGTAAAGGATCTCTTATATTTTTGTCTTCGCTGTGAGATTTGGACTATGCTACTGGTTTTTACTGTGCACTGACAATTCCTGAAAATAAAGCACTGTATGGAGTTGGAAGCCTACCCTACCATACTATTTTCCTTCTAGGAGAATCCCAAGCCAAATTTACAGTTGCTGTATGGGAAGAGGCAGTATGAGGGCAATATCTTCTTCAGTTTTGTTGCCTTCTGACATGCGTATGTCCCAAGTGCACAAAGTCACTCTGATTTATGCCAGAAATCTGTTTTCTCTGTTCCCCAGCCCTGACCCAGAAAGCAGGAGAACCAGAGAGGAGCAGAGAAGCCCAGGTAGCTGGGCAAAACCAGGCAACTGTACACCCATCACTTTATTCGCAGCTGGGACTTCTTGGCATGCTGTCATTGAGAAGCTCAAAGCAATATTCACAGCCCAACATGTATGTTCCACTGTACTAGCCAGAGGAAAAAAACCAGCACCTTTCAGACTTCTTCTGTGCGTGTGTTTTGGGGGTCAAAGGAAAGAAAGAACAAAGGAGAGTACAAGGGACAATAGTAATTAACTAGCATCATGAAAGCAAGTGTTCCAACAGTAGTTTCAAAAGAATAGATCTTGCTTTAAAGGTTTACAGCAGAGGCTTAGTAAAGTCTTGTGGGCATTTAATTGTAATCTAGGAAATTATAAAGTACATAAACTTCCACAGCAGCAACAGCTTACGCCCGTTGCTTCAAGGTACAAAACAAACTTAAAATGGAAACTTCAGTAAAGCAACGCAGGTGTTTTGCTTGTTAGTTTTTATTGTTGATTTTGGGTTCCTATCCATGGTGGTGCCAATTGCACAGGGAGAGTTGTTTGCTTGTGTATGATAGTGGCTTTAGGAAAACAATGCCTTTTCATTCAAAGATGTTTGGGCCCAATTAAAACCCAAAAGGAAAAACTGTTGTGATTGCTGAGTTGGTCCCTTTCTCCCCTTTTACCATAACCTGTTACAAGAAGGTTTTTTTTTTTTAGGAGTTCACGATCATTTTTTCCATGATCATTGTTTTTCTAACAATGAATGGTGAACGCTTGGGAGGGGCAGGCGCTCCCTACTGGGAAGCAAACTTGGCAAAGTAATAAGCAACAATTTATATATAAAGGCAGGATATTTCATTATGCATTTCTCAATTTCATTTTGCAATAATGTTGAATAAGAGCAGAGTCTTTTTGTGCAGCCTTTCTTCCATTTCAGTTTCAGCCTACTAGAATCTATTGTTTATGTATCATGATAAGACATGGTAGAATCAAGCAATGCTATAATGGAGAAAGGTTTTTGTTTCATACAGAGGGGATCATCCAGTATAAAACAGCGTGCAGTTGGCTTCACCTTTAGTAATTACTAGCAAAACAAGACAAAAGTAGTGGTAAAAATAAAAGATTAGGTGTAAATTTTACATCTGAAAATTTAGAAGTTTTCTCCAACATGAAACTCCTGTAAGCAGAAAATAAAGGGAGATGAAGGAAAGTAATTTTTTTTTTATATCACAGAATTTTTTAGACTCTTTGTTCTCTTCTCATTTTTTTTTCAAGTTGCCTAATTTCCCTTCTATCCCCCTGTTACTAAACTTATGAGACAGCAGACATTGGTTAGGAACATAATAGTGTTATCTTGGCCTACTATTGTATCATCAAAACTGACCATTTTTTAATTTTTTTTTTTTTCATTTTACATTCAGTTTCTTCTGAATTAGGTCTTTTTAATGTATTTGAAAAGAATGCTGTATAATGTTCCTGTAACAATACCTCCCATTCAGTTGCAGCTATTCAGTTCTAGCGTCTATAATATTCAAAAGTCTTCTAACAATTTCGTTTTCTTTTCCTAGGTATAAGAAAAACCTTAAAGCACTCTATGTTGTACATCCAACCAACTTCATAAAAATCCTGTGGAATATCTTTAAACCTCTTATAAGGTACTTGGCAGTTTATTTAACACATTTTCCCATTTAGTTTAAGGATGGTTTGTTCTCTAATACGTTGCTTTTAAAAAGGCTTGAGGTAAAATATGTCAGCACAATAGCCGCCATTCAAACTGTCTTGAACTAACGAGTAAGGTGAGCTTAAGCTTGGGTATGAATAATAGGGTAGAGTTCTTTTCTTTCTAAGAAAAGGGAGTCTCAATTCATAGTAGTTTTACTGGTATGTTAAAGTAAATATCACTTTAAAACATAGTTATTCTGTGGACCATGAATGACTCTTTTGTCCTCTTTGACAGCACTTAGCACAATAGAACTGGGTCCGTGACTGGAGTTACTAGGTGGTACGGTAAAGCAGATAATAAATGGTTAACCTTCAGTCTGATCTCAAGTGCTGAGATGAATAGGAATGATACTACTTGTGTGTTCAAAGTTAATGGATAAGCCCTGAAGTGCCCATAAGAATTTGAGATGGAAGCTGTAACGGTGAAGGTGGATGTATTTTACTGGTGCATTCTTTGCCTGGTAAAAATTGATGCTATCTACAAGGAACCATCAACAATGGGCAGATATTGCTAAGTGCTAGGATGGTTGGGCTTTCTTAGTTTCTGCTCCTGAACTTTTGTCACTTTCAAAGTCATTCTAATATTTTGCGGATTATGTTATAAATGTCCTCAGGGCTGAAGGACGAAAACAGCTTATCTTGAGAACCCATAATGAACCAGCTAAAAATGTCCATTACAGTAACTTGCAATTGTTTCAATTCTGACTGGTAGAAAGCTAATTAATTAGAAAGGGGAAGTTTAACTTCTAGACAGATCAGGACATGTAAGGAGCATGTGAAAACAAAAAAGTAATTACAGCTAAAAATCCTTCCAGAATATGCTGTTCTTGAAACAAGAAGACTGACTATAGATCTTTATTTTAACTGGCATAAAATAAATGCCAGAGATCCACGGCATAGACCAGTGGTGAGAAAAGTGTGACAGAAGCAGGAGGTCCAGTAGCTGATAGTACCTCAGGAATGGGGACGGATTTTTTTTTTTTTGGTTCCTGATTTACTGTAGGATAGCTATGGAGAGCTTTCTAGGAAAAAAATTAATAAAACCAGAAAAACTCTTGATGTACATTACAACACTCAGGTGAAACCAACTTCTTTCTCAGAGGCAGCTGAGAGCTCCTTGGGAATAGCTCCAGGCAAGCAGTTTTGGGACACCGGCGTTTTTCAGTCTGTGCGTTTTAATGCACTCAGCGGAGCCACAGCTGGACAAGAGCTGTGCTGTTTGACTTAGAGTAATAATTGGCTGCTAATTCTTACAAAAGAAAAGTTTACAGGTACCTGTTCCAAATACTCATTTACCCTGGATCTTACTATGTCTGTGTAAATAAGATGAATCCTTTTTTTCTTGGAACAGTATGATACACTGGCAATTAAATCCTTGTTTACTTTGGATGTGAAAATGGGTGATCCTGATAAGCTTAAGCATTTATATCTAGCATAGAAAATTCAAACCAGGGCTTGTCATCTTACATGCATCATCATCTTGACCTTCTGAATACCCTGCTTTCATCAGGATTGGCTGTTCTTGTTTGTGCTCGACTTTTACCAATGTGTACCTGGATACTTGAGTTGAATCTAATTTAGCAACACTCTACTCTCTGTTGTTACAATACGTGACCAACAGAAACAAAGATATTTGTACACTGGCACTGACAAAATAATTGAAAGTATGAGTAAACTCTGAAAAGGTCCAGAAGGCAGGGATGAGCTGAAGCTAGGAAAAAACCCTCTTTACTGCTTAAAATGGTTTAATTACCGATTGCTCACATGCATTTGTGGTTTGGGTTTGTCAAGTAAAGGAAAACGTAAGAATATAATTTTAAAACTGAAATGTGAAAATGCCCATGTACAGTTTGCCTCAATTGTACTCTCATTGAATACTAAAACTTATTAACATTGTTAATTTACTAGAATAATAGAATTTAAAATTTGTTCACAGTGCCTTTTTCTCCCAGTTTAGAATAATCTTATCTTAGCAGATCATGCTTTTATTTAAGCGCCAATATTAAACCAAAGTTCTCAAAAAGAGGGGAGAAAAATCCTTTGGACTTTCTGTTTCCTAGCTTTGCTGAATTATAGCCCAGACTCATTTTTAGATAGTGTTTCCAAGAAAAATCACAGACGTAAAATAAATTTAATTATCAAGAAACATGTATTTATTTTTCGGAGGTCTGTTAGTACATTTGGTAATTGTTAGTACATGGCCTAATTACTTTTACATGAACAATGTGTTTGCTAAGAACTGGACAAATGACAGAATTATTAAAGAACAAAAGTAATAAGTATTTTAGCATACTGGTATTTGAAAGTATTTAAGAAAATGTAAATACTTGAAATTTTTCAAGCTCCAGAAGTTGATTGATCTCCTTTCCAGTCCCAAAAGAGATGAGCAAGAAGGTAATGTGTTAAGTCACATCTATTTTTTTCCAAACTGCAAAAAACCTCTAAGAGCAGCACATTTCTGTGTGTGAGCTAACAGAAGCCACCCGCCTGTTATCAAAATAATATAGATTTAGGTGGTGGTGGTGATGTGGCGTTTTTAAGGAACAGCAGTAATTCCTAATTGCCCACAACTTAGTTACAAATTATGTGTTCTGTAACATGTCCTGTATTACCAGAGGTGATTAGTTACAGAGAATTCTGTGCTAGCCCGTGGCTTAGGTAAGATGTTGAAATCTCAGGCTGTTTTGGATAAAAGACACACTGAAGAGCTCTGAAGTTGTACACGCACAGCCTGATATCCGTCGGTGTCTCAAAATCGCTTGCCTGTTAGCAAAATATAGCTCGTTTCAATTAAAAGCTTCTAAAATGCTGAAGTGACTTATATTTGTACCGTCTCCCACTAGAGGGAGTGTGTGTATGTGTATTTGACAATCCAGGTATAAATTCATTAATGCGAGAGAATTTTTCTACAATTTTACTGTCAAAGTAAGTTGCAGCAAAGAACACTTTTTATCATAAACACCTATTATTTTGATTGACACTTCATTACAGGACAGATATTTTGTGTTGTGGAAAAATATGAAATTATTTCAGTCCATGTGTATAAATGTGTCACTGAACCTTGTTTGAACACCCCAGCCTGTAAGTAGTATATTCTGGCTGAAACTCAAGACCTAACTAGTGATACTTGGTGCTTCAAATTTGGAAATCTGTTTTGTGCAACTCATAGAAAAAACTTGTTATTCAGGATGTTTCCTAGAAGCTATCCAGCCCTTTTCAAATTAGATAAAGCTCATGGCCCAACGCTTCAAGGGTATACACTATCCGTGCTTTGAAAATCTTGCTTACTGCTTTATCATTTGTGTCTACAGCCCCATTTTTTGTCTTTTGGCAGGGAGGAATACCTAAATAATACAAACATGTTGTTCTGTTGGCCATGTAACATTTTCTCCAAAGTTAACAGTTCTTTTTGTGAGCTTTCTAATGCTGTGTGAAAGCTGTTTTTCAGTGGCTTTTAAAGCAGTGTTTTTCATATCTATGCAAATCACAAAACATTCAGATGGAAGTCAGTTATTTTTATTCAAATCAGACTCTCAGGCATGCACTGTATATGTTTGATCATATGAAATGAAATACATCTTATGTCTCCTGCTGCTTCAATTACAGTCTAATTTTGTGTTGCATCAGCACTTACATTTTTGTAATAGAAACTAAACCCTTCATAAATGTTCCTCCCATGCTGATTTTTATACTTCTTTGTGATTTTTTTTAGCCATAAGTTTGGAAAAAAAATCACCTACTTGAACTATTTAAGTGACCTCGGAGAGCATCTCAAATATGACCAGCTAAATATCCCTCAAGAAGTCATCCGGTACGTGGCAAGTTTAAAATACGTTGTCTCGCCTTTTGTCAGGTAGAGTTGCGTCCTGTTCGCTGTATTCCAGGCAGAATCTATTCCTGTTTCTTCAATGATTAAAAGTCTAATTTACCTATTTGTGCTTGGTTGGATTTAATTCTGAAAGCTGCATTGCCATCAAAGACGTGCTGAAGTGCGTCAGTTGTTTAGAGCAGAGAACGCTATATAGTTTTCTACAGATTTGGAACATCTCCATCTCAGTTGTGGAACATTTCGTAGTATAATTGCAGCTTCTGTGTGAGTGTTAGCAAAACCAATCCATGTGTCATTACTGCTTATGAGTATCATGTAATGTTCATGGGCAAAAATGTAATCCTGACCTCTTTGCTTGCATATTGTAACAGATTAAGTGACTTCATTTTGATTGATTTTTAAACTTTATGGATATGTCTATTGTTAGCGGACCCATTACTTTTATACCGTGCGTGTATGTGTGTTAGGGAGGACTATTGGAGAGGGGGCGGGAGAGGAAAAGAAAAAGAAATACATAGGGCTGGAATTGTCAAGTGCCAGTATTAGTATCAATAACAGTCTTTTCGACACAGCGCTGTACATGGAAATGCTTTGATGTACTGATAGGAAGTGATTTTATGTCACCGCTGAATGAAAGTAACTGGAAGCTTTGATTATGACTGTTATTGATGCCTAGTGTGTTTTTACACACCTTTTTTGTAAATATGGAGTAACAGAAAATACCTTACAGCTCTAAGGTTATAAATTGGATTGCACGGTTGCCAAAGAAAGGGGAGTTGTATTTTGAGTAACAAATAGGTTTGAATTTTGCTGTTAAATTGTAGTGTGTTCCTATTTTTTGGACACATTTATTACTATACTCCACTGGCTGAAGCAAAAGAGCTCTTCTATGTCTTGCTTAAGAATTCTACCACAAATACTACTTAAAAATATCCCTAATGCTTAAATTAAATGCAAGTTCTGTAAGACCTGCAGCATATACACTATTGTCAGGAGATCAGCATCATGAGCAAAACTGGTAGCTGTTCATCTATATAGTTTGTCAGCCGTGGTGTGCAGAAAATCAATGATTTCTTGATTTTCGCAGGCATGATGAAAATCTTCGGGGGAAACAGAAGGGAAAACTGCCACTTGTGGTTAAGGTTCCTCCACCACGGCCACCTCTACCTACCCAGCAATTTGGAGTCAGCCTGCAATAGTAAGCCATGAGAGTTCTAAAATATGAGATTTCTGTACCCTGCAACCTTCTGTAATACGCAGAATCGCTGGACAGAACGTCTGCAAATGTTTTTTTCATTGTATGTTTAGTTTCTCATTCTCTTTGAAAGCCACGAAACTATGAGGCTAGACAATAGGTTTTATGAATTCAGGACGGGTCTCACACTCCCAGTGACCTGCCTGATCTGCATGTTTACAATATCTTTGTGGTAGTTAGAGCTAGCATGGCTGCACAACTTTTCTCCCACTGGACAGAAATTTGCCCATATATGACAGAGCCGTGAGCTAATCTGTTGCTGGTGGATGCTGGCAGTATGAAAATGTTTTGGAGATATGTAGATGGTGGATAGCAAAGACAAAACAAAGCTTCAGGCTCCAAAATGGCTGCATAAAGCTAAAATGGATGCTTGAGCCTTTATATATTGTTGTTTTGTTGCTCACATATTGTTCTGATCAGAGTTTTATGAAATGAATAAAATCACTCTCTTCCAGAAATGCCCTGACAGCTGTTTACGTAGATTACAGCACTGTATGTGGTATAAAAAATGATTTACTTTACGCAAGGAATGGGATGGCATTAGTACTTGCAAGATTCAATTTTGGTAAAAAACAACAAAAATCCTGTAAAACCTTCTAGCTTCCTATACACAGTCATTTCTGTCAGAGCTGTGGAAAACTATCTTTCTATGGCATCCTTCTCAAAAACAGCTGAAGAATATTGTTCGCGTTCAGCAAAGGCAATTTAGGCTGTCTGATACATGGACATTTGTCGAATCTCCTCCCACCCCCAGTCTACTTTTTTCGTTCTAATGATTCAGCTGTAAATGAGATATAAAATATAATTTTCCCCTCGTTAAATGTTAAGCATTAGTCCTCTCTGGAAGGCCTGAAATTAGAACAATCAATATCTATTGTGTAAGAGCTACTGTGACATTAACTTTTATGATACCTCTTTAGAGTTCACCCTAACACTTGAAACATGGATAACTCACTTCCCTAGAGAATATCTTTTAGGTGGGCTCCACTGGGTCATTAAGAAGGACAATGTTTTATGCTGCCGCTGCAATAGTAAAACCAGGACTGTTTGCAGGCATCAGGGCACACTGTCACTTGCCTCCAGCCCAGCCTGGCTGCTCAAGCAGCTCTATCAAACTTCTCGCAGGCTTATGTGATCAGACAGCACGTTGTGTGCCACTCTTACCATCTGCTAGTCATATTTTATTTCTCTGACTGTGCCTGAGCAGTAAACAGTGTCTTTTGCTGAGCTGCACGTGGTGAGGGTGTGGTGGCCACCCTTCCTGGCTCTACCGCTTTCCAGCTGCGTTACCATCAGCAAACCACGTCCTTGCTGCATGCCTTAGCTTTCCTAAGTATAGAAAGGGTGGTTACTTACAAAGAACTTTTCTGTGGAAGATCTGTGGGTGGAGAAACACCGAGTGAGGCGTTACTATCATTTTTGACCCAGAGAATTCCAGCGCTGGCGATGGAGGCGCTGACAGACGGACGCCCTCCATGTGCGGGTGCAGCTCACAGCGCTCGGGTGTCCGAAATGGATGTACGTGGGGATATTTGTTTCTTCTGTTTGTCCACCCTTGTCCAGATTCCCTCTTGCAGAAGAGACGGTGGTGCATCACCATGTAAAAATCACAAATAAACAAATCCCCTATGACCTCTAAATAAGAAAAAAGGACTTAATTTAGATTGTGTTTGTGAAGAAAGGTAAAGTTAATGGAGGAGAGGGAATGATATGTGTGGAGAGCTTCTAAAATCTGAACCAAAAAAAAAGTATCAACTTTCATCTTGATGAATGAATTGCTTTTGCTAATTCCCTCTCCTTTTATGATCTCTATAGACAGTAATGGCAAAATGGCAGTGACCTCCCACCTGTCTAGCAAAGAGGCAGGTTTGAAGTCTTCTCCTGGGTGAGGCTCTTCCATTTTTCTGAAGAGAGCTACAGGGAGACCCTGATTTTATTTTGTATAGGCTTATGGGAATATGTGTGCTGTGTATTTCATTACAGTTAGTAAAAATTGTACTGTCAGAGATGCTGCTGAGAGAAAGCTACTGTCGCTAAAGGACTGTTTCTCTGTGGAGTCTTTTTCTTTAAGAAAAGAAACAATAAGGCCCATAGGCCTGAGGTTTCATCAGATTCAGTACTTCTGGGATGATGATTTTTATTTAGTCAGTAAAAGGTTGGTGAATGGGATTTATTCAAAGCCCTCATAGGTGGCCTAATTTTGATAAGATGTTTGATAATGGTATCCCAATGTCTTCTGGCTGTGGAAGGTGGTAAAACCATACCCTTTTGAATGTGTCTCCCTAAAACCAGTGGGCAATGCTGTCTCTGGTAACACTTCCTCATTTAACTTTTTTCTCAGTTTATATTGGTTAATACATTTGCTTTCCAGAGCTATAATTAAAAACTAGAAGAGCAAAAAGTGACTAAGCATTGGTTCAAAATTTCTCACTTTTGTCCAACAGGTGGTGGTGGGGGGAAACTGTTTCATTAGGACAGCAAAATGAAGCTGAAGGAAATTTCCATCTGGACACTGATAAATGACTGTCTGGGACTAGTGCCTCGTCTCAGAGGAATCCGTTAACTCACAAAGACGTTTTTAAGCTTGTAGAGTCGGATTTTCAAAATGACATAAGGCAACTGGGCATTTAAAAATCATGGAAGGTCTGTGAGAGCTGGGAATATAATTCTTTGAAATGTAATCTATACTGAATTGGTTTTAATTTATGAGCAAGCTGAAGGGCTTATTATCAGATTAATTCAAAACTTTTCTTTTTTATGTTACCCCCATCCACTCAGGATCCAAAATCTGAATTTAAAATGGCTGCATTTGATCTCTTTAACCCTTCAGTGTCACCCTAAACTCTTTGTGGGGAGGAAAAACTAAACACACACCAAGCTGACTTCCTTTTAAGTGTCCATCCACCTTTATTTACATTTACTTGTCTAGGATTTAAGCGTATACTTTATGTTAGGCACAGATGTGAAGTGGAAAACCTTCCTCATTGTGAGCTCCTGTGAGGACTCAATAATTTGGTCTTTGCAGCTAGAACTTGAATCTAGTACCAAGTTGTCCTGAAGTTTCCACTGAAACTACACTAATTCAGACAATAATAAATGAGCTTAGTAAAGGCAGTTAAATCATGCAAAGCTGGCTTATAGGATGTCTTTAGAATAAAGTGCGGGGGACCAAAAAAGTTTGGCTGTCTCCATATTTAATTCTTTATGCCTACATGTACAGAGCAGATTCACCCAGTTTACTGAATAACAGTCTTTCCGTAGCATTTCTGATCCCCAACCTGGATTGCCTGGTTGCCAAATTGCACCTTTAAAGGTTTGAACTCACGTTAAAAACTATGTGTTTTTCTTGAAAATATAAAATAACACAACTGAAACTAATGTTCATCTTCACGGGGATATCAGACAGAACAGTCCTCCTGAGGAGGTTTTGTCCATACTTAATTTTTCAGTTATAATTTAATGGGAATACATGCTCAGATTTGACAGGTACTTAAGAATGTTTAGCACAGAGTGGGTGGGATAGTTTGCATGTTTAGTGTTTATTATGTCCTTCTCTAGCTTGCCTAATTCAAGCTTCTTATGTGCAGATAGAGTGAGGAGAATAACAACCCTAATGCGCTGGCTTAAAGGTTTATCAAGCCTCACGTCATGTCTCCAATAGAGGGCAATAGCAGATGTTAGCAGGGAGCAGTGTTAGAACAGAGCAAGCGTACAGCGATACTTCCTCAGGTATAATGTCCCAGCTTGTACTGACCAGAGACTGACAGAGGAGACTACTACAGTACTATGGAAATGACCTTCTGTTACTCACCAGTAGTTATCGCTTCTATAAATCCAGACATTTCAAAGAATGTTCATGTATTGTGTTGATATAGCAAGACTATTTTTCTGTTCTTTCAGCAATGCTACCTTCACATGCAAAATGTAGAGCAGCAGGAATTAGCTCTTCAGAATATATCCTCGCTAGTTTGCACTGCATGTCAGGGTGAAAAATAGGATTTTTATTCTAAAAGCCATTAGTAAAGATTTTCTGTTTAAAAAGGCAGGGAAAAATTTGGGGGACCCTCTGCTTGTGTTGATCAGATAAATACAGTTAAAATGCATGAATGAAGCTTCCTAAATTTGCGACGCTTTAAAGGAATTAATAATTGACAATATGGGCCAAGTGGCATCATTGTCCTCTGCTGTATGTTCGGCAAGCTCTTATAAACCCCTCTTGCTGCACCCAATTGCCTCGGTAATCGAGGAAGGCTACAGCTGAGCTCCAGCACAGAGTTGACCTTGACTAGCTATTGACATTGTTCTGTTTTCTCCAATCGGTAATCGGAAGGCTACAGCTGAGCTCCAGCACAGAGTTGACCTTGACTAGCTATTGACATTGTTCTGTTTTCTCCAATTGGTTTTAAAATCTAAAATTAAATATCTTTTTTGGGAAGAGAGGAACTGTTTTGGTTTTCTATCTATTGCCATGGATGGGGAGAGGGGGCAGAGAAAATGCACAAAATTGCCACAACTGTACAGCTTTTGCTTGTTGAATTGTTATCATAAACATTTCAGGGTGCTTTCCGTTTGGTCATAGTCTTTCCACTTGTGCATGCATGACCGGGGAGGAAGAATGCATTCTAAACCAAATCGCAGCACGTCTCAGCAGGGGAAGAATGAAAAGGAGGGGAAAAGCAGAGAGAGAGAAAGATTATCAGCCAAGAATACTTAATGACACTTCAGAACAATGTGTAAAGGCCTTTCGTGATAACTGTCCACTGTCTAGAAATGACTCATTGGGTATATACTGTGTTGCAGTAACTAATCATATATCCTATAGTGAGGAGTACTCATTCTCCCTGGCTACTGTGTTTACCAGAATAGATCCCTCTTGAATCTGACATGTTGCTGCAATACGATTCAGATCTGTGAATCAGTTACAGAAAACTGTACTGTGCACT